AGGTGCTACATAAATAGCCTTTGTTTCCCCTTTTCAAAGAAGACTTCCACCTTTTCAAAGAATACTTCCACCTGTATATCATGGAGTGCACTACTTGTGCATAATTGAATAATGATTACATAACTTTCATGAGCACGTATCCAGTGTTTTGTCTCCATGTATTTCACAATTTGATCTGCAATGACCTTTATCTGCTCATGCTCAGACTGCAACTATGAACTGGCTAATTAGCCCCAAAATCCAGAATTTCACTGATTTCCAGACCACAAAAGGCACCTGAAAATTATATTTGTACCCAACCTTTATGCCAGACAAAAGACCCACCGCGCGTGATGAAATGCAAATGAAATTCTTTCTTTAAACATCCGTCATTACGAACACCATTGTGGTGGCAAATGTATTTGCATTTTCAGTTGAATGGACCCTTTCAAAAGCAACTGTCTGGTAAATTTGGTCAAATGGTGAGAGGTGACACAAAGTTCATTTAACTGTCATGAGTTCAAATAGATCTATTGCACATACTAATGTACTGTGCAATAATTCCCATGTCAATATCCTTCTCAATGGCAGTTATTCTACTCAAATTTAAACCCGGTGCTGGGATTAACATTTTGTCAAAAATTGGTTTAACAAAGGAAGTTAGTCTGTGGTCTAAGATTTCCTTCTGTCTAACAGAATATGGACCAGGCTAAAGCCATCAATTTATCATAAGATTCCCTTCACTATTTATTAACTGATTTCCTAACCTCAACCCTAAAACAAACACAAAGTAACCTACATATACCAATAAACCTCACCTAACCTGAAACCCAATCATAATCATAATTTAATCTTATGTCATTGACGAAAAAAATAGTAATAGACCGGCTTACTAACATATTCAAATTTTATGCATTCTTTGTAAACAAAGATTTTTCTTGACAACCCGGAATCTTGTCTGAAGCTCTACTGACATAGCAACAAGTATATATATATATATATATATATATATATATATATATATATATATATATATATATATATATATGCGAGAATTCTCAACTCTGACATGACAACGGGTGTATATATGCAGTGTATATGCAGAATGCATTTCAAGTATTGTAGTAAATGGAATCCATAAATTTGAATACGTTAGTAAACCGGTATACTTTCACTAGAGCACATGTCAGGTCCCCATAAACAAAATAAAAAAGTGCATTGATACATTGAATGATTAATTGATAGTTTACTGGATGTAGATTGATTGATTGATGTAAGTAAACAACAAAAAAATGATTGAAAGATGTTATCTCTCCCACAAAAGTAACAGCACAATTTGACAGGCCCTCAATCCCACAAGATATAAATAAAAAAAGCTCCTTTAATAATTTCACTCCACTTTTTCCCCCATTCAATTCAGTCAATTCAGCAATTTACTAATTAATAGGAAAGAACTGTGTACACTACAGTACACTCCCATATGTTGACACTATATGCACTTCAAACTATTACTGTCGAGTAATTAAATAATTCTGCAGCTAGGGTGAAGCGAACCAACACACTTGTAATCACTCTCTAATGAGCAATTAGAAGCGCTTAATAGACCAGCTTCATTTATAAATTCTGAGTGATTGATCCTTCACGAACAATATTTACCAGAGTGTTTAATTCACCGTTACTGAATTAATGGATTTAAGTAGTCACATTTTTCAAGTGATAAATATAGTTTTAATGGGGACCCTTTTGGTAAAAAATGGTCCATAGATGCAAAATGGGTGAATGTATCATGAATAATAGTTTCTTATTAAAGGTATGATCTCTTTCAGGATCACTTTTTAGTTCCAGTATATAGTGACTGAAAATAAATGTTTCAGTTCATCAGATCAAATTCACTCTAATAATAGTAATCTGGATTTATATAGTGCTTAATACTAATAGTAATACTTAATACTTTACAGATATTATTACCTCGGTCATCGGATTCATTCATGCACAATGTGCACCATCTCCACTCCCTGGAATGTACATGTATTCTTACCATATGATCACTGTGAGGGTTTATGGCAGTTACTATTAAATACAAATACGTTCGTCATCCTACCAGGTCTCCATTTCTCTCCTGGTAATGGAGTGACAAATTTATATTAATGCCTTGCCAAAGGACATTAGTGCTGTGTCAGGGAGCCAACCCACTACCAAATCAATTACAAAGTTTACACGATTACTTAATACGATTTAAGACATTTGGCATGATCGATTTTAAGTCGGATTTAAACTTATGTAGTGTGGGACAACATTTAAGAGACTATGTGAGATTGTTTCATACATGTAGTTCTGGTATGGCATATACTGAAAAGCATGGCGCCAAAATGTTTTGGTAAATGTAACTAAAAAAGGGCGTGAATGAACGTTTTGAAGATGAACGTTTTGAAGATGAACAGAGATTGCGAGTTGGTCGATGACTTTAAAAACAATTTTGCAAATACATGGGAGCGTCATTGTGTATACACATTTATACGCAATCTCTCACAGGTAGCCAATGTAAATCATACATCACAGGAGTTTAATATGTGATCTCGTTCATGTATATATTTTCATATGGAAGCGCATTAAAAGCAGGGATTTTGCAGAAGTGGTACAAAACTTGAACCTCTTGGTTATTTAACCATATCACCGTTGATCATGGAATAGGTAAAAAATTTAATTTGGTTTTGCTATTAGAGTTTGCCAAAACAACAAGCAAATTTTGTTATTGATAATGTTTTTAATTATAAGCTCTCAACTCATGTTATCAATGTACCTGAGTTGTCTCTTGCCCATTAAAGGGACTATGTCCCATTTGCAGGCCAAAAAAATGAAAAAGTTAAATTCCAACTGCATTTGAAAGATAATACTAATTTAGAACTTCCCTAAAAAGGGTGGGGCTTGAAAATGTCTTCAAGTGGGAAAATAACGACTATTAGTTGTCAAATCGACTTTAGGGCTATAGAGCCCAAAAGTAATAGTCTCGATTATCAGACAAATGTACCGAATGGTCATACGTTTTATGCTGCGCAAAGATTCAATCAGTTTAATCTTGGCCATCACAAGAAGTGGGTTATTGATGTAGACAAATACTCATGTACCCTTTACAACTCTTTTCATGTATGTTATTACCAAAGAAGAAAAAAGTCAGTCACTCACTCAATAGTGTCTGACAGTGAAGTCTAGCAAGTAAACGGGTTTCCTTGCATAATTTGAATATGAGGACACTGCTAACGTTTTAATTTCACAGATAGGACATACATGACATATACATAATTCCTGCAAAGTTCTACAGCATTTGAGGTTGGCTGCAAAAGGGACATTGTACCTTTAAGACTACCGTTAATTACTGAAGGCCAACTAGTCCATTGAGTGATATGTGAAGACACAAATCCTATTGTACTGATGCCAACAACTACAACAAAACACTTTTCATAATTAATTCTTTACGTGCCTTCTTTGCCAAGCAATACATTCTGTCCTATCATGCATCTCGATAGGCACAAATGGTAATTAATTTAATCATAATTGCATAATTGACTGCATACACTACAATCAATCCACAAATTGTCTCAACGCTGTTAAATCTTAATCCACTGAATATGGACTTAATATACAGGTGTACATGTATATACATGTATCCATAATGCTTAAAATAAAAACTTGTTGTATTGCCCTTTAGGTGCCAAAACATGCAGAATGGGTGAATGTATCATGAAGAATATTTTCCTTTTAAAGGTATGATCTCTTTAAGGGTCACTTTTTAGTTCCAGTATATAGTGACTGGAAATAAACGTTTCAGTTCATCAGATCAAATTCCCTCTAATAATAGTAATCTGGATTTATATAGTGCTTAATACTAATACTAATACTTAATACTTTACAGATATTATTACCTCGGTCATCGGATTCATTCATGCACAATGTGGACCTAACACTTTACCTAACCCTAACCCTACACCTATAGATAACCAAAAACCCATTTGCAAGCCTAATTCTAACCCTAATCCTATATTTTTGACAAAATAAAACCGAGAGCACTAACCCATTCCTAGATACAATCTGCGCATGGGTAGATACAGGTCATTTGTACAAACTTGCGAATACCGGTACTGAATTTGTGGTCATAAAAGTTATGCACCGGTAATTATTACTCATTTATGTACCAGCAGTACATTCCATGGAACACACATGGAAGTATTCTTCTCAAGAGGGCAAACAAAAGATACTCATGAAGTACATCCATGACTTTGGCAGTGATTATTCTAAAATGCACGAAGTGGGACTACTCCATGTCATGTGTAAAAGATCTGTGGATATTTGGGTTCATTTGTACCATGTGCTAACTAGGAAGTGGTCTTTTGCTGCCGGAGCATTTGCCGAAGCATTTGTCGGAGCACCTGCTGCCGGTTTATTGTTGTTTGGTCTAAAACTAGTTTGTCTACTACCCAATTGGTCTATTCCCATATGGTCTACACCCAACCTGTCTACTAACCACATGGTCTCATAATCATTTCTTCTACTGAACATTTGGTCTAATGATCATTGAGGCTGATAGTCATTTGGTCTAATATCCAATTAGTCCGCTTCCCATTTTTGTTTATCGCTCATTTAGTCTAATTCCCAGTTTGTCTAATGCTCATTTTTTTCATCCATATTGTCTAATAACCATTTAATCATAAATAGTAACAATCATCAGATGATGAAGAGACCTTATGATTGGTAGACCAAATGGGCATTAGACAAACTGGTTATTAGATTAAATGAACAATAGACCAAATTGGTATTAGACCAATTGAAGATTAGACCATACAGAAATTAAATCAAATGAATATTAGCCTAAATGGTCATTAGACCAAATGAAAAGTAGACGAAATGAACATTAGACCAAGTGGATAGTAGACAGGCTGGGTGTAGATCATATGGGGATAGACCAATTGGGTAGTAGACATTCTGGTTGTAGACCAAACGGCAATTCACCCTTCTTGCTGACTTACCAGTGTTTTAGGGCTTGTGTGGGCCAGGATGAGGAAGCCAAGCCGAGCTGGTATCAGGCTCACGTGAGGATCACCTAACACTGTAATGAAAATTACAAAAAAGAGGTAATTTTACTTAAATGAATGTCTCACAGTCTATGAAATGCACACTGCTCTAATAATTATTTGTTGGGCAATAGGGTCAATACATTTATGAGCATTGGCATCCAAAGTTTTATGTCTTTTTTAATTAAAAATTTACAAAAAATGTAATAGACTTTCTAGCTCGGTCAGTCTGAATAAAAATCATTATCAATCTAAATATGAACACATTTATTCATTTTTGACTTCTTTAAATTTCACATCATGAAAATCCCCCCCCCCCCCCCCCCCCCCATGGAAGCAAAACTTAAACACACAGGACTGTGTGTAATTTTGACTCTTAAGCTACATGAATATATGAAGCCTTTGTCAGCCTACTAATAAACAAAATTTGCTTTCCATGCAGGGCCACATCTTTTGAGTAACAATTTGGAAGAAGAAAAAAAAGTCCCCTAAAACATATTTTTAGAGTTGAAATTATGGATTGTGCTATTAGTTGCAAAACATGTCAGTTATGAATGCCCTATTTATGTCCTCAACCTTGCGAAACCTATGTATTACCTTCAAACGAGGACAAAATACAGGCTTACAGAGGTCACGTTTTGGCAGAGGTTAAAATAACGAGCAGCGAGCTTCCTCATTTTGTTTGTTTCCATGTGGAAGGATATCAAGGCAGCAATTTTTTAACAGGATTTCAAAAGGATTGCACTTGGACTGTTCTTATATTCCAAATATGAATAGGAATTGTTTAAATATTGGGACAAAATTTCATGCCAAATGTCTGTGTAGTCCTATATATTCATATCAAAGTGGGTTTTTGTTCCACTATATGTGACTGTGAGCAAGATTGAGGTAATTTATTATAATTCTAATGATAAAAACTCATACTGTACAGTAATTCTTCTGTACCTTTCAGCATATCTTTTGATTCTACCATGAAACTATCACCTCCCCAGGGCTCCAAAATCTTGTATAGATATAGCAATTGGTTGTACAATCAATTAGCTGAGTGCATAAAGCTTTCATCAACTGCACAATAGCAACCAATCACTAACTTTTCTTAGCATTACAGCACCTAGTACAACTACACTGTATATTTAGCTGATGCTACGGTCACAACCCGCCATACATCTTTTTGCAAGTGCGTGTCTGCAGCTGTGGAGTTCAAGGCCAAGTCCTACGATTTGCACATCCTTCTTATGATCCCTCATGGGCACCTTGCACTCTCCTCAAAAATAATACCCCCCCCCCCCCCACTTTACCTGCAAGAATCATTAAGGTGAACTAATAAAGCTTTATTTCAATCAATATCAGGTGCATCTGGTCGGGTGTGTGGGAGGAATATAGGTCTGCGGATCACAGTTATTTGGTTAAAGATAAACTTGAGTTCTGGTGATGCGATTGCATTGTGAAAGAAAAGGTGTGGAAAGGATCAGAAACAGTTGATCATGTAGCATGTAAATAATGGTGTGTAATGCAAGGTTCTGGAGTCATCAAAATCATCATAAATTTGGCAAAGTCTTGGTAAAGTAACAATCACTTACACAGAAAGATGTATATGGGACAACACACATGGTGTCGGGGCTAGTACTACCCTGATTTCCTTATCTTTCTATGCTCAGTACTCAGCCAGTATACATTTTCTTCCAAAATTGTTTGGCACATGACATTTATTTGTAATCTTGAACATTCAGTGTAAGTTTTGTAGATTCTGTGAGAATTCATTTTCTTTTTTTACCAGTACTCAAGTTTATCTTTAACTTTTCCATACCCGGGCAGATCGACTGGATGCACCTGCTATTGCAATATTTATATACATGTATGCTTTCAATTGATTTTATCTCAATTCATGTTTGTTATATTTGTGCATATGTGTGACTTGAATTGCCAAATAAAATAATAAAAATAATTCCCTTCAATGTTTCAGTCTCTGGTCTACCTACCTTTCTCGTGCTCCGAGAGATCCAGCCTGGGGCCTGGTTTGGGCATTGCCTTGAAGCTAAAATGGATTTCTCCTGGCCTTGCTATTGTTCCATCCTATGAAGAAGAAAAAAATACAAAGAGAACATCAGTTCAGTTGCCAATCATCAAATATATTTATTTCCCCTTTTTCTGAATATCAACAATTATGTATTTTGAATATTGACAACAATTCAAATTGGCAGTCATACTTGTATTTAAATGCATGTGAGTGCTCTATCTTACAAATCAATCTAAGATGAGCAAGTATAAAATATTTGTCTGTCATGTCATTTTAAATATCTGTAATATTCCTTCAACAAAATGGCAATGAACAATCAAATATTCTTCCTTTTTTTTCATCAACATGCATTCTTTTTTTTCCTGCCATTTCCATCTTATCATTCTCTCCCCTAGTCCCCTTCCACCCCCCTCTCTCTCCATCTATCTCTCTGTTGATCAATCTATTTATCTTCTCTTTCCTTCTCATCTCTATCCCTCATCCTCCCCTCCATTCATCTCCCTCCCCATCTCATTTATTTTTGCTCCTATATATTGCATTTGTAATCTATCAGTTAATAACTCTTGTCTCCCCCCCCCCCCCCCCATTTCTCTCTCTTTGTCTCTCCCTCTCTCTTCAATCATAACACGGTTTATACACCATCACACCAAAAACCCATATGTTCAGTTGATTAATTGAGCAAAATATATAAACATCTTCACAGAGCTTAGCGGTCCTCCCCATAAATCTTCTGCTTATTGACATTTACACGTCCAGAGTTCCAGAAATTTCGGGCTACTTGAGCCTACCGGTACGTCAGCCAATCCTTCTTCAATGGTGGCATGTATACAATTATCAGGCCTGGTTCACACATGCCGTGGTCAACCCCTTTCAACCCTTTCAGGCAAGGATTTATTTTTAGGGCTAAATTGATCACATATTGTTCTCCAAATTTGCAAATATTGTACTTCTTTTATCACTTCAATGATAAAATAAAATATAATGTTGATAAAAAACAATATACTCCGGCAAGAAATAGCCAGTTTTTTAATGTTGATAACAAGTTTTACGAGACGGGGCCCTGTGTCCTAAAACACATACAAAAGTTACTACAGTTAACTAAATTATTCATACCCCGAGAAATTTGATGCTTGTGTGTGTGTGTGTGTGTGTATCGTATTGACTTGAGAATGTAATGTGGACTGGTTGAATTAACAAATCATGTTGAATAAACAAATCAGAAATATTTCTATCGTAAGAATAGGCACTATAAGTATAATAAATTAATGTTCATTATTATTATCATTATTATTGTTATAATTATTATCATTATCATTATTATCACTATTCTTATCATTAGTATTATTATTATTATCTTTATCATTATTATCATTGTCCTGATCATTACTATTATTATTATTTTAATCATAATTATCTTAAATATTATTATCCTTATCATTATCATCATCATCATTACTTTTATTGTAACTATCATTATCATTATCATTATTAGCGCTTAGAGACTTCGGTGGTAAGCGCTTTATCAGTAAAGTTTTTATTATTATTATTATTATCATCATCATCACCACTATAGTTATCATTCTTTGTAGGGCATTGGGCACCATGTTCACTGTGCGTATGAACGAGGCTCTTCCAATAATTATGTTTATTTTGAAAGAGAAGATCCATCATGACGGTAACGACCATGGCCGTGATAAATCGAAGAATGTTTCGCCTCTTTAATGACGACCTTTGTCAAGAGCTAAGAAGGATTTTAGAGAAAGTTCCTGGCAAAGGCAGTTAAAAGCTAACATAACAACTATGGAAGGTAAGAACAACATGATGAGAAGAGCAAGATGCCACGGGCCAATAACTGACGAGATGAAGTCGTCTACTGAGGGGTATCAAAGGGGAAGTCCATCCTGACTTTGGTTTTAATAAAGGCAGAAAAATGAAAGACACAGATCAGTGGAAGTTTGAGCAAAAACCGATTAAAAATAAGAAAGTTATTCATTTCTGAAGGTGCAATCAATCAAACACAAATTGGCAACTCCCATTTTCCCTGTACTGAAACAAAAATCTATATATTCCTGAAGAAAATTTCAATCAAACACACACCTTAAATATTCCTATGGCAAATATGTTTTTATACAACCCCTGTATGAAACAAGTCTATTCCTATGTCAATAACTAAGAAAATGAAAGTTTAAGAAATTTTCTGTACAGAGCAAATCGGAGAGGAGCCCGTAAGATACGTCACAATATTGCCAATTTGTGTTTCCCTGATAATAACTTCAACAATACATAACTTTCCTATTTTAATTGGATATTGCTCAAACTTTCACTAATTTGCTCTTTCATTTTTCTGCTATTATTAAAACCAACTTACTATCGGGGTAGACTTCCCCTTTTTTTCACAAGGGGGCTGGATTGTAAGTGGCAGGGTCTGAGTGTATGGGCTCCTACATATGTATCAATGTAAATATTCAACATTTTGGAGGACTAGCGTTAAATTTAGGGACCCATGTGCATCAGAAGTCTGAATAAAGTGTGGAGCCTTGCATTATTAAACTCATGAAAATGTATCAAGTTAATGATTTATTTCTAGCTCTCAGAGAACATTATGCAAAAGGGGAGATGAAGAAAGCGACGCTCTGATCAAGGCAATGACAGAGTAGCATAAAACGGCGGTTAGACAACTTTAGGCAAGTCTTTCCCACAGCTTTCATCAATAAAACAAGATGTCACAAAGCATTATTACAAAAATGTAAATGGGCCTCTTGATAAAATGCATATTCATATATTTGTTTTCTCAAGTAGTTCCCCTTCCCATTTCCATGTTGGCTCCAACTTCATTAAATTAGTGTCGTTTTCATTTAAAGGTAAAGACCAGTTATGGTCATGCGATTGCATTGTGAAAGAAACGTTGTGGAATCGATCAGAAAAGGTTGATCATCTAGCATCTAGCATCTGCAAGGTTCTGGAATCATCAAAATGATAAGAAATTTGGCCCATTCTTCGTAAAGTTACAAGCACTGTACACAGAAAGATGTATATGGGACTACCCTATATCTCTCACAGACCATGAGAGAAACAAATTTACCAAATATATGAATTAGTAGGCGGTTTCCCGGCAAATTTTTTATCATCATGTATTAGTCAAAACATATTCTTTCACATGATTGGTAATGAGAGCTTCCATTTCATTTTTTGAAATTGGGGCGTTTCCAATACTGGTCTTTACCTTTAATTTACTACAAATAACTATTAAATGCAAATACTACACACAAAAGCCTGGAAATCCCCTTTGTACATGTACCAGCAACTCAACCAAAACCCTTTCACGTAATGAGGGTGTGGCTTCATATGCTACCAGCATAATGTGAAATTTATTACAAAGTGACAAGAAATAGCAGTCATTTACCATTTATTTCACATAATTCATGTCGTTTTATCAATAGCTGTGAAAAGGGTCTTACCATATAATTGTGGTTTGATAAAAACGCCATTTTTGTAATGTAACCAAATTTAATACACAAATCTTTAATACTTTAATCTAACAAATATACGGGTATGTACATGTACATGTAACTATATTTCAATAGTCAGAATGCGAATTGCATGTACATTAATTGTTGCTAGGTAGGACAAATATTATGGTATGCCTTACCTAGAAACAACTATCTATGCAATTTGCATTCTGAGTATTGAAATACAATTATTCATAACAGGTGAATGACACAAGTTGTAAAGAGGCACTTTTACAAAGCTTTGTGCAAGTTTAATTTAAATACATTACGAAAATGATCTATTGAAGTAATTGAAGAATAGTAATCAATCAAGAGCCATTCTCACACTATGTACCATGAATAAATGAAAAGAATGATGTATGAACTGTTCACTAAATTGCTATACAGCTCTGGGCTCTATAGAGGCAACATAAATAATGTATGCATCATCGGTGCAATGTTTGTCTCTTGATGTCAAAATAATGTCACTGTAATTGTTCTCAATTAAGGGGCTGTTAATCATACTGGATATAAAATTAAAAACCTGTCAACTACTCAGGGCCATGAATTTGAAGTACCTGTACACGGTGTTATGGATTGATATTAAAAAAGTACAGTCAAATCCTATTTCTAGTTCAGTGTTATAAAACGTTTTTTAACCTATTCTTTGCTTAATACTAGCTGTTGTCTTGTACTTTATGGGTATCTTGCTGATTCGTGGCAACATTGTGGCCCTGTTTCATAAAACTTGTTATCATATTTTATAACAAGTTACGATACCTGTTACAAGCTACTGAAATCGTGGCATTTGATTGGCTGAGAGCAATTTTGTGATAGAATTTTAGCATTTGTTATTGATAATAGGCTTTAATAAAACAGGGCCCAGACAAGTTCTTGTCCTTCTCACTCACACCAAATGATATGCTAGCAGTTTTCATGAATGAATAACATATACATGTAGAGCATGCAATATCGCCTGATGATGATGATGACACAGATTATTCCTGTCTTTTCAAAGCCACATGCCAATTACATTGTAAGTAATGTGTGAGCAATTCCATCTTTCATCTAAAGTGGTGCAAAACCTAATATGACCCTCTCTGGAACTCTGGAAAATCCCACCAAAGATTTTAGATTTTGTATCTCACATTTGAACAGTTGCCACTTGCCAGTTTTTCTTCTTGGTACAGGAGTGATTACTAAGAGTATTCATTATTGTGAAATTTGTTCTCATACAAGACACATGTATTGCACTGTATATCCCACATAATATTGCACAATAAAGCAGAGGATTTAAACTCATAAGTTGCCTTTTGAAATAACATTGAAGAATTTTTTTTCTTTAATTAAGCGATACATAATGAGCTTAGGATCTGCATGTTCGTTTCAGTACTGAGCAAAGACTGATCAAGAGTCCTGATAATTCATCAATCATTTGAAGGATATGTTTACTGTTACGCTCTACAAACTGAATTATTTGAGCTACATGGTACATGCACACAAAATATTTCTCAATAATGCTGCTCTCACTGCACCTAGATGTAGATGCTTTCAAATCTACACTTCTAAAGCCAAAAGCTAACAATCTATCAATGGAAAAAATATTTTTGTTATTTATTTGAATATTCCTTTCTGATCCAAGAGATTACCTTGAATATTTGTTGGCAGTTAGGGGATTTGTATTTAATGGCAAAACTTTGGCACAAAAAAGGTCAGATATTTTTGACAAAGGCTATTGTATGACATGACAGATACAATGATGCATGCAACTAGGATCCAAACAAGTTTATGACAAGCAAAGAAATCAGGTATCAATAATTTGAAATAGCACAATTTTTCTTTTATGTGAAAAAGGTATGCCACATACATGTAGCTATAAAAATGGAGATAACTGGCTGGTTGTAGCTCCCATCCCCCCCCCCCCCCTTGCACCAAAGAACTCAACAACTGTTTGTATTAAAGATAAAGACCAGTTATGGTCATGCGATTGCATTGTGAAAGTAACGCTGTGGAATCGATCAGAAAAGTTGGCAAATATATCAATTAGTAGGCGGTTTCTCGGCAAAATTTGTATGATCACATATTAGTCAAAACATTCTTTCACATGAGTGGTAATAAGAGCTTCCATTTCTTTTTTTGAGAGGGGGCATTTCCAAAACTGATCTTTACCTTTAAGCATGAAATAGGTCTTATCAGCAAAGGCATCAGGAATGCACCCTCTAATAAAGGGGGCACAGTCGACCCCCTCCCCTCCATCAGCACCCTCCCCCCCCCCCCCCCCCTCCCCCCTCCCCCCTCCCCCCCCCCCAAAAAAAATACCCTGCCCAGTGTACTCATTATTAAACAGATTGTACACATGTACTTAGCAATGGAAACAGGACTTACCACTGGTTGTTCCACAAAGGCAGGGGGAACGCACCCTCCAGTCAGGTTGTAATGATAAGCGCAGTACCCCTGTACCAGCTCCTGCCTGCACTCTCGATAGGGTACCCTGTGTGTGTGTGAAGGAGGTGAAGAAGGAGAAGGAGGACAATTTGATTTAAGAGTGAAGGTTACCGCTCAAGTACATGAATCCAGACAGACCATTCTCAGACAGATCGATTTTGGAGGGTTTCAAGGAGAAAAGGAAAATGAGACAAGTGTTTCTACTTTCTAACATTGTGTAGTACTAGTAGGAAGAAAATGAACAAAGTGGTTGACAATGTCACCCTTGTCTGTCTCTTTGCTCTCTAATTTCAAGTGAAAAATATGTGTGCCTGCTTAAGTTCTTCTCCAATACAACATTACAATGAAATTCAATATGATCATATAATAATAATAATAATTGTGATTTATATAGCGCAAAATAATCATTGAAGATAATTCTCTATGCGCTTTACATTTTTACATTCATACAATTTACATTATCACATACAAATTACATATAAGGCCTATATTATTACACACAAATTATATATAATTTCATTACCGGTACATATAAATTACAAATCAAATTACATCAAATGAAATTCCGCTACAACAAATAATTATACATGTACATCTTAATAATAATAATGATAATAATAGTAGATTGTATAGCACATTGCCACTCCTGGCGCTCCATTATTAGTACCCCAGCTTTAGCACAGCTGCCATTACAGCGCTCAAGCATCTTTGAGGAATACCCAGGTACCCATTTACCTCACCTGTAAGGAGTGTGGTTAATGTGATTAATATCTTGCCAAAGGACACTAGTGCTTTGAACCCTAGATCTTGTGATTTGCAGTCTGGGGACTTATCCACTGGACCACAACACCTTTTCAAGTTATGCAACTCACGCCTTCATCTTTGAATAGTAAATCCACCAACAATATACCTCGGCTGTTTTCACTTTCCCTTAATATACTGTAACCCATTTCAATTGAAAAGGCTACATTATATTGTATGTTTCTCCCCCCCCCCCCCCCCCCCCCCCCGCCCCACCCCCTCTTATCTCACTCTCTCTGTTTTTCGGGGTAATCATGTTCTTCATGGTACCAATTATATCCCCAAACAATATTTCATTAATAAAGCGTCAAACTCGATAATAATAAGAGTGTAATTACCTCCCAAGGACCTTCCATAAGCTTTCCACCATATGTTCTACACTGGGCGTCCTTTGTGTACAGAATCCAGCATATCTGTGGAAGCAATAGTGAAATAGAAGAAAAAATGAGGTTAAAGTAGCAACAACATACAATGTAATCAAATCAATAATTAATGAGGAAGTCCACCCTGATAATTAGGTTGTTTGTAATAGAAACAGAAGAATGAGAGAAACAGGTCAGTGAAAGTTAGACTTATAAACCAATTAAAAATAAGAAAGAAATTAATTTTTAAAGGTGCAATCAATCAAGCCCCAATTGGCAACCCTGTGAAGTATCTTGCGAGCACCCCTCCCATTTGCCCTGTACTAAAAAACCTTTAAAAAAAAAAATTCATTTAAGAAAATTTTAAATCATAAATTTACCCTGCAAATATAATTATTGCAAATATGTTTTTATACAACCCCTTAAAGGTACTATGTCCCATTTGCAGGCCAAAAAAATGAAAAAGTTAAATTCCAACTGCATTTGAAAGATAATACTAATTTAGAACTTCCCTAAAAAAGGTGGGGCTTGAAAATGTCTTCAAGTGGGAAATAATGACTATTAGTTGTCAAATCGACTTTAGGGCTATAGAGCCCAAAAGTAATAGTCTTGATTTTCAGACAATTGTACCGAATGGTCATACGTTTTATGCTGCGCAAAGATGCAATCAGTTTAATCTTGGCCATCACAAGAAGTGGGTTATTGATGTAGACAAATGCTCATGTACCCTTTACAACTCTTTTCATGTATGTTATTACCAAAGAAGAAAAAAAGCCAGTCAGTCACTCAAGTGTCTGACAGTGAAGTCTAGCAAGTAAACGGGTTTCCTTGCATAATTTGAATATGAGGACACTGCTAACGTTCAAATTTCACAGATAGGACATACATAACATATTCATAATTCCTGCAAAGTTCTACAGCATTTGAGGTTGGCTGCAAAAGGGACATAGTACCTTTAATGAAACAAATATATTCTGTCATCAATAACAAAGAAAACAAAAATTTAAGAAATTTTCTGTACAGAGCAAATTTGAGAGGAGCTTGCATGATACATCACAGTGTTGCCAATATGTGTTTCACTGATGATAACTTCAAATATTCATAAGTATTCTATTTCTAATCAATCAGATTTTGCTGAAACTTTCACCAATTTGTTTCTCTCATTTTTCTGCTTCTAATAAAACCAACTCAATTATATATTAGGGTGGAATTCCCCTTTAAAAATTCAGCTTACAGCCAGGATATTAACCCATATTCATGAACTTTGAGTTTGATACAGTACATGGTTACATATAAAATTCCTCTAACTCCAAGCAGACAAAAACAAGTTTAACATTCATCCTGTACAGACAATCAAATAACATAAATTGGTAAATTGTTACACAATATAGGCCTGTCCTCATCAGACCGTGCAGTAGTTGCAAAATAACCCACTGATTTACCTGGCCTGATCTCAAATTAGACAGCTAATTTGCGTTTTCATCAGCCCGCAGTAGCAATTATCGGGTTATTTGGTTGAGAAAATATCCGGAGAAATCTTAGTCTTGCTCGCTATTTAGGAAATAGCCGGCGAATTTGGGCTAGTTTGTGATGAGCGTATCGGTCTGGTGAAGATGCAGTTTCAAGCTTCAGGGAAATATCCCGAGTCTGAAAATAGCGGGTTATTTTTCAACTTCGGTCTGATGAGGGCAGGCCTAGTGAATCCTGTTCTAGCCTTCATGTGACATGGATGTCAATTATGAGCTACAATGTATACAAACAGTTTGTGGAAAACATACTGGGCTGCATGGATGCATTCAACTGTTGTTTCACTACTCATTCACAAAAGTTACCAATAATTTCTAGTTTGGGCTCTTTAAACTTATACAATTCTGATGTTTAAAAATACATCCATGTTACATGGGCCTGCATTCAAGGCCTTCAAGTTGGCAATATTGGAATTGTTTTTTTTTCCACTGCTGATCCTGAAGAGAATGGTACATGTACATGAACATATTGTGTCACCCTTTTACGAGCCAGAAGGCGTTCATTCTGTGTTAAAGGACAAGTCCACTCGAAAAATAACTTACTTTCAATAAAAGCAGAAAAATCAGACAAACCAATCAAAAAAAGTTTGAGCAAAATCGGATAATTAATAAGAAAGTTATGAATTTTTGAAAAAGTATGTAAAACTATGGAACAATGAGAATCGCAACACAAATTGCCAAGATGGTTATCAATTTGTGACGTCATGTCCTCACAACTTATCAATTGCTTTACATAGTTTAATCCCATTAATTTCCCTTTTTATCCCCCAAAACTTGATTTCCCAATACCTTTGCCCAGGTTATATGATTTGTATCATATTGCGTTCATGACATTTCCCAAAAACTTTTATGAATTTTGAAGAATTGATACTATTTTCTGAATATTGTATTTTATAATTATTGATTTTTATTTAAATAGTTTATCAAAATTCAATTTTCTCATGATTTAACTGGACAAAAATTACTTTTTATTTGTGCATCCACACAGACACATAATTACTAACAATCTAACTTGGATGCTGGTGTGAAGAAATAAGATTCTTAGGGTGAAAATAGAAAATTTATATTATCAATATACAGAAAATAATTAGTGGATAGTGAGGACCATACGTCACAGACTCATGAGTGAGTTGCCAATTTGTGTAGTGATTTTCAAAGTTTTTCATGGCATTAAAAATTCATAACTTTCTTATTAGTTATCCGATTCAGCTCAAACTTATTTTGATTGGTTTTTCTGATTTTTCTGGTTCTATTGAAAGTAAGTTATTTTTCGAGTGGACTTGGGCTTTAAAGTATATGAGTTCGCACCCATCTGGCTATGCACAGAACAATATCAGAACATTAAAAAAAATTGTCTATTCCCTTTAACTTGTAGCATCTGACAAGTTGACAACACAAATCTTTAAAAAATGAAAATATACATCAACATTCTTAGAGGCAAAAGGCAATCATCATAAACCTTTTGATAGTTCTGTCTATGCCCTGTACATAAATTCTCTTCCTATTATTCTCTGCAGGTACAAATGACATCTGAATAGAAAAAAGGCAATGAAAGTTCAATTTAAAAAGTTAAATACATTGTGAGCTGCCACTGTAAAGAGAGAAAGCTGATCCAGTTTAATACATTGAGTATAACCTGCAAAAAAGCTTTTGTTGCGAAGGAACTGATTACTCACAACACTAAAGGGAGCTCTTTACAACAGAACTACGAAAACAAATTACAGACCATGACAGTATCTACATTGTTATGTAAATAATCAGTTAAACACACTTGTCTGGGAATTAACAGGGTGACCTAAAGCCCATGACTAGTGCGTACTAGTGCGGTCATTGTTTGGGCTTTTCTCAAAGTTACAGTTATACAATGTACCAGGGATTTAAAAACAGTTACAGACTTATAGGTATTGTCTGGTAAATTTAGACAAAATCAAAACTTGGATAAGGTACCAGGCATTTCTTCCTCCATTGACTATCACAATTTCTACATGTACATCTTATCACTTTTCTCTTGAGATACCTAAAATTAAACCAAAGTGGATTGTTGTCAATTTGTTATCTAATTGAAAAATCACTTGTTTATCAACCATCAAATGTACATGTAAGGCGATTATTATTCTCTGACAAAAGCAGATCACAAGTGGAAGTAAAAAAAAATGATGCATCACTCTTTTTTTAACGTGGTTACAATCAACTTCTTTTGATGTCTTTGGGCATGATGGTAACCCTCTTGGCGTGGATGGCACACAGGTTGGTGTCCTCAAAGACAAGACTTTCTTCATTGTACTGCACAGTGCACATGTAATCAATGTCAAAAAGATTCCTATAGAAATGTCACGATTCTACAGAGAAATTCAGAGCTGTGGACCTCACTAGTGACTACGGTATTCAATTAATTCAAAGACTTAATTCCTTCTTTGTTCCTAACTTCCTACACGCACATTTATTTTTTACGACACCCGAGTTCAAGAGCTTCACTCCAGTTAGCACAGCCATGTCAAGAGGATGTACGGTTTAATGAATTGCTGGATTAAAATGTAACCCCTTCAATACATCTCTGTCTATTTCAAATACACCACAGTGGGTCACCATGGGGGCAATACAATGCAAGCAAAAACCATCAAGTTTTCTTGTGTTCTAGAGTTTTGTTGGAAGTTGCGAGGCAAAGTATATAGGGACCTTTCTAGTGACTATTCAATTTATTCAAAGACTTAATTCCTTCTTTGTTCCTAACTTTCTACATGCATATGTATTTTTTACGACACCTGAGATCAAGAGCTTCACTTCAGTTAGCATGTCCATGTCAAGAGGATGTACGGTTTAATTAATTGCTGGATTAAAATTTAACCCCTTTGATACATCTTTTTTTATTTCCACCTTATCACAATGGGTCATCCGTTCGTAAGGGCATTTACAATGCAAGCAAAAACCAACATCATCACTTCCAAGCTATTACATGTACATATACAACTGTACATGTAGAGCAGCGACAAGTGGTGTACCGTATATGCCGGCGTAAAGGCCGCAGTATTTTTGGAAGAGAGTGTGGCCTTTACGACCAAAGAGTAAAAAATAAAAAAAAATAAAAAAAGTCAAAACCAACACGAATTTGCACGTATGGGACTAATAACTGTAAAATAACAATACCACTATAGTACAGGACATTCCAAACATCTTACCGACAATTTAATCTTGCATTGTTGACATGAAGACGAAAATAAACGTCCTAACACAACATTTGCCGATAGATCTTGATCTAAGTTTGTGCCAATGCATTGCAAAGGTAAAGGAAGGGACAGTCTAACGGAACTGCCGCGAACATCCATCCGAAGTCGCCATTTTGTTTTTCCATTTCATGCAGTTTCGCATTACACCGTACATTGCGGTAGGGGTATATCGGACACCAAATCTGCCTGCGATCACTTTTTAAGCTAAACTTCCGGTAAATTATAAGAATATGGATGAATTTGGTATCAGTTTGTAAAAAAAAAATAGTGTTTTCGAGAAAATTATGACTTATTTTGTTTT